GGACGCAAAACATCCGACGGTGGCAGGAAAGCTCCGGCAATGCAAGCTCTCACCTCGGCCTCAACCTTGCAGGAATCCAGGGATGGTATAGCGCAGTTGGAAGCAATCACAGTGCCGGTGTGTGGCGCCTCTCTTGTTTCAAGGCCACCGGTCCAAGTAGCGAACCGGTTCCACGCCTCAGTCGTGAAGGGTTTGGCCGACGACGACATCACCGCCAACGGAACCGTGTAACCCCTAACAACAGACGAAAGGGTCCACAACCACTGCAACAACGGGACCAGGCTGAGATTGGGGCCAAGCTCACCCTCTACCCCAGCAATTCGACCATGGACGGCGGCCCACAGAAGAATCTGAGCGATGCTGTTTCCAGGGGTCAGGGCCTCGCGGTGCTGCTTGCTCAGGTTGATGGTTACTATGGGAACCCCCCTTTGATTACACCAAGTATCCAAAGGATCGTCCCCGAAGTCTTGCCTAACAAACCTTAGCACCCAGTCCTTAGAGCTCTCTAGCGTTCGCCTAGTTCTCCTTGGCAGCTGAAGGGCCTTTAGGACGTGTCGCACATGGTGGCTGTGGATGGGGAGGTTGGCTCCCAGGAGAGGAAGGTGCTCCTTCGCAAAGAGGCCTGTTGCCGTCGCAGCTTGCAGCAGCTCAACCCTGGAACCAGTTTCCCTAGCTTCCTTGACCCTAGCCTTCAGTGGCTTCGGTGCACTTAAACCTCTTAGGATGGCCTGAAGCTCTTCCACCTCAGTGTTGAACTTCGCCAGCTTAGCTTCTTCAAGCTCATGGATGAGCTCCAAAGCTCTGGTCTCTGCCAAGATCGGACAACCCTGGCGGACACGAAGCGGGATCTTCCCATGAAGCGGATGCACCAAGGTGGCCTTCTTCCCAGACCATGTCAAAGAGCATCCTAGCTCCTGGATCAAAGCTCCAACCGGGACGATGGGCTGCGATCCCGGCTCAACCAGGATGGTTCCGGAGGAATTTTGCTCCATCACCCTCGTCACCCCTCCGGCCAAAGTGACCTCAGTGCGAGACGTGTTGGTGTCCTTAGGCTCTCGAGAACGCATGGGGTGCGAGGCTCCGGAGTCCAGCAAGCCAGTCCTTTCACCCTGGTCTACCTCGCAAGGCGAGGGGTCAGTGCTTGCTACCTGTGCAGTTCTGATGTTAGGCTGTCCATCAGGGATCGCCTGGCGGATCGCATCGAGGTGGGCCTGAAGGGTCGCAACCGAAACAGGAACCCCTTGGGCGACAGGAGCTTGCGACGCTGATGGAATGGGCTGTGCTTCAACGACAGGTACCCCGGAGGGTTCCTTGGGCTGGATTGCCTTGAGAACCTTGGCAGCATCCTCAAGGAGAGCTGTGACGTGGTTGGCATTGGGCGAGGGAGCTGCAGCCTTCAACTCAGGTCCCTTTGGTGGAGGTGAGGTCTTAGGGTTCTTGGGAGGTGGACCCCCGGCCCTTCCGGCTTTGCTGTTCGGGCAATCCACCTTCCGGTGATTTCTTCCTCCACAAGCCATACATCTTTCACTACGCTCATTCGCAGGAATCTCCTTCCACTCGTGCAAGTCTTGGCACCTTTCCCCTTTACGGCAACCCTGACCCTGCAGAAAGAACCGACACTTATTCCCTGTGGAACCAGGCTGTGGCGGAGGACTCTTAGGGTTAACCGTCGGGAGTCCTGGGGCAGGGTTCTTAGGGTTCCCCTTTCCTTTAGGGCCTGGTGCTTGCGAAGACGATGCTGGAGCTGTCGGGTTATCCACCGCTGCAATCTGAGGAGGGGGCGCCTTGGCCTTCGGAGTGACCCTTCCGAGCGCTTCAACCTCGGCAGTAAGGGCAGCATGGAGCTGAACGACCGACTCCTGGCTTGGTGCAACCTCAACCTTCAAGGCGGCTCGAACCAGATTAACCCTAAAGAGAGCTTCGGGAGCCCCCTCAAGCACACCCTTAACTATCGTATTTAGGGCCTTTACAAGGATCACTGGATCAGGAGTGGTTCCTCCCAAGGCTTGAGTTCGCAGTAGCCAACGCTTCCACTTCCGGAGGACTTCAGTGGCTTGGTGCGGCGATGATGCTTGCACAGGAGATTGAAGGAACTGAATCCCCTGCTCTCGTTCCGAGACTCCACCAGGGGCATACAGAGAATACAGTCGGCAGATGATCCCCAGAGGAGTTTTGATCCTCCCTGCCACGAGTTCTTCCTTGACGGACTTTGGGCAGGCTGCAATTAGGAGCGACTCCAACCTTTTTGCCAACCTGGACCATCTTACATCCTGGAGTTCGTAACTCGGGACAGGGTTTAGAGTCAAACGGGTGACAGGATCGGCCGATATGTATCCAGCGTACCATCTCTCTGCTTCCTTGCACAAGCATGCCCAATAGTCAGCCGATGTGCTGGACATGTCCTCCACACAGGGCGCGCAAAGGTGCAACCAATCCATGAATGCCAACGATGCCTCAGCCCCAATTTCAGGCAACTTAGGAAGTTCCTGCCAATGGTACTTGACCTGCTCGGCACTCGTGGGTGAACCTTCACTTCCCCGCAGGACAGCTTGCAGGCCTTGCAGTAAGTTCGTGACCTCAGGACTCCTAGCGTTTGCATCTTGGATCGGGGAAACTGCTGCACCTGGGCTTGGCACGCCTTGGACATGCTCCAAGGGCTTCGTACCCCGAGCTGCGACCGAGGGAAATGCTGCACCTGGACCTGGCACGCCTGGGACTTGCTCCAAGGGCTTCGTACCCCGAGCTGCGACCGAGGGAAATGCTGCACCTGGACCTGGCACGCCTGGGACTTGCTCCAAGGGCTTCGTACCCCGAGCTGCGACCGAGGGAAATGCTGCACCTGATGCACCTGGCACGCCTGGGACATGCTCCAAGGGCTGCATACCCTGAGCTGCAATCGCAAAGCCTGATGCACCTGGCACGCCTGGGACATGCTCCAAGGGCTGCATACCCTGAGCTGCGACCGAGGGAAACGCTGCACCTGATGCACCTGGCACGCCTGGGACATGCTCCAAGGGCTGCATACCCTGAGCTGCGACCGAGGGAAATGCTGGCACGCCTGGGACATGCTCCAAGGGCTGCATACCCTGAGCTGCGACCGAGGGAAATGCTGCACCTGATGCACCTGGCACGCCTGGGACATGCTCCAAGGGCTGCATACCCTGAGCTGCGACCGAGGGAAATGCAAAGCCTGGGCCTGGCACGCCTGGGACATGCTCCAAGGGTTGCATGCCCTGAGCTGCGACCGAGTGATGTGCATATCCTGACAGACCTGGAACGCCTGGGAAGGATGCTGGACCTGGCACGCCTGGGACATGCTCCAAGGGCTGCATACCCTGAGCTGCAATCGAGGGAAATGCTGCACCTAAGGAACCTGGCACGCCTGGGACCTGCTCCAAGGGTCTCGTACCCTGAGCTGCAACCGGGGGAAAACCTGCGCCTGGTTGGTTGAGGGTTTGCCGAGGACCCGAACCCAATCCCTTGAAGTTCTCACCCAACCAACCCCAAACCTTACCTACTGTGCTAGTTCTCCATGACTCCCGTTCTGCTACAGCTACAGCATTAGCGAGACGGTCCCTTAGGAACTCATTCTCCCTCGCTAGTCCCTGTACAAGCGCACTATGCTCTCTTCGCATGACCTCCAGCTGTCGATGCACTTCGGCCTGAACGGCCCCACTGCTCACACCAGCTGAATCCGACGACTCAGGCCTTCCAGCTTCTCTTCCAGGACTCCCAAACCCAGAAAGCAAAGGCGCCTCGCGATTCATCGTCTCAATCTGGCTCAGGACTTCAGGTGGAAACAGTGGCTGCTGCAACATCACCTCGGCTGGAGCGGGGGGAGGCCCACGTGGTGGAGAGGGAGACCTCGAATCATCCCGTGACCCATCCCAGCCAGCACTCAGATACGTTTCCACTTCCCCAGACTCTCCTCCTTCGTTCATAGGAGGTCGGGAAGCCATAGCAGGGTGTCCAGCGGCCACCTGCACCGCTTGCCAGATCTGTCCTACAGCTCGCCGTGCACTCTCCAAAGGTCCTTCGGGTAGTTCTGAACTGTTGTTGCCTGCTCCAGGGGGCAAACCGGTATCTGGGGCCTCGCCCCCATCGGTTGCCGCCCTCAGGTCATTCACAACCTCCAAAGGTGTAGCTGTACCACCACCTCCAGAGCCAGGGATGGACCCCTGCTGCAGATCATTGCCAGATCTGCAGCCGGAGGCCATCCTCGTGTCCTGCGGCAAACTGCTCCCAGCATCCAAGCCCACACCACTTGTAGACCCAGCTTCAGAAGCAGCCCCATAGCTTGGCGCCACCGACGACTGGTGCCCGCGACCATTCATCAGAGGCCCTGTAGCGGAGCCCCGCACCGCCGAAGCGGATTGGGCACTCATAACCTGTTGATGGCTCAAACAGGTCCCCAGCGAAGAGCACCCCTTCGATGTGGACTGAGTCCTCCTCCGAAATCTCGAACCTTGTATTCTTTGCCGAAGAAAACCTCCGAAACTCCAATCGCCCAAAGTCTCCCAGACTGCACAGCGCAGAGCGGCCTATGGCTTTTCTCTCAGCTAGCGAACACGCTCGGACTCAGAAGAGAAGAAAGAACAAAAGCAAGCTGACAAGTGCTATACAAAGCCAGACTTACAAATCTTTCTTGAAAGCTATGTGTTTGCGGTGCATGCAGCCCCTTCCAAGCACATCCCTACTGAGTGCTTCAAGCATGTTCGGGTTATGTACTCGTGCTGCATGCCTTTGAACCACAAGTCGGAAAAGAAGAAGCGAAGCACCTGGGCAAAGGGCTCGTGGAGGGTCTGGACATTCAACAGTATACCATACCCGACTACAAACAATATCACTCAAAAACAGGTTATATGTACATCTGTGTATATATACTTTTGTTGAGGGAGAGAGAAAGAGAATGAGAGAATGAAAGGAGGTGAATGTGTGTTCCATAGCAAACTCTACGGTGTTGGTGCACAGTATAGTGTTAGCAGGCCCCCAGGCTTGGCCTGGTTCTTGGGAACGCGGCAAGACACCACCTCGCCGCACTTGCAGAAATCCTCAGCGTCACGGCTTAGGGTTTCTGGTTTAGGGTTGAAGCTAATGTGAAAGTACACTCTAGTCTTTTGTATAGTTTGAGCTTTAAGCATACTACAAAAACAAGCTTGGCATAGTATACAACAGCGTACTGGAGTACACTAAGAGTTTGCAATAATTTGCTGCAGCCTACTATAGACTCTACAAAATGTGCCGGCCAACTATAATCCACTATGCCCTCAAAAATCATTTTGATGGCAGCTCCCAATTCACAAGCTAGTGAGAAAGAACTATTGGCCTACAAGACCGGCATGCGGGTTGTATCGTTCATGCGGCCGAGTGCGGAAAGAGTGTGTCCAAACCAACAGGAACATGGACCCGACGGGGCTCCTTCTCAATGGTCTTTTGGTCCAGCTTCCAGGCCAAACCTTCACAAGCAAGGGCAAAACAACCCCCAAGTCTGGCAGAAGCTTCCAATGGGAACCGGGGACGCAGCCCTTGACCATGACGGTCATTCCATCATTCTGGCGGCCTTCTTTGCCTTTCCCCTTGTCCTCAGTCAGTCACACTCATCTTGAAAAGGAAACAGAGGACCTGTAGGACTTTCTTGAGGGGCATTTGAGTGGACCTTGAAGTAGCATACGTCGTGCTTGTCAAGCCCGCAGCCTTTCCATTGCTTTTGCCTTTGTTATTTCCTGCAAGATCAGAGGCACTCGTTCAGCGAATCTGACCATTTATGAAGCTTGCTATGCAACAGCTACGAAGGTCACCACGCAAATCGTTTTCCCTTGGCGCTGGCTTGCCCTTCATAAGACTCGTATACTACCAAATTAAACCTTCTGAAGCTAGAATATCGTACCACGCATCACAATCTCCAACCATGGCCTTTCCCCTGTCCTTTCTCTTTGCCCTTGCCCACGCCGTCCTTCCCCATACCTGCAGCGCCCAAATCGTATCAGGAATCAGCGACATGCAAGTGATGATGTCAGCGCCCTTCAGGCCTTTTCCATCCTCTCCTTGTCCGTCTTTGCCCTTTCCTTTACCGCCTGTCCAGAATCTAAATCCCAAAGCGAGCCGGGAGCAGGCTTGCTGTTCCTATGACTCATATGCTACCAAGCATCCTACCATGATGCCGAGACTTCGACCAGACCTGCCCTACCGATAGGAAGTGGTCAATACCCGAAGCGCACCCCAGCCTTTGAAAACCAGCGCCTTCTTGACGCCCTGGTTTTGCACATTCAATAAGGAATGGATGTTCTTCGGCATGGATGCTCTCTCTAGCTTCCGGATGCAACTTTTTTACACACACGCACACACACACACACAGAGACAATCACACGCGCACACACACACACACGGCTTCACTCTTGCTGCTGCATTGGCCCGATGAAGTTACACCAAAACAAAACGGCTGACCTGACCTAAACCGCGAGTTCCGTGCTCTCCAAATTTTGGATTAAGCCGCGAAGTATGCACAGCCTCACAGTGTTTCATACCGTTCAAAAGCCTAGCACAACGATCTCATCCTTTAATCTACGACAAGAGCATCACACTTGCTTGCTCGCTGGCAAAGCCAGAGCATAGAAAGCGCGTGCTCACTGCCTTGTCCACGTGTTCTTCATCACCTGTCATCTGTCCCACAGAACCCTTCAGTGCAGAGGTGGCTGTGCTAGATTCAGCAGATGTATCAACGGAAAATATACGCAGTTCATGCACATGTGCAGACGCAAAGGCAATGCATCCTTTATCGCTTCTCCGCACGGTCATTCCGAATCTAGCACGTTGGTGCCACACAAGAACACAGCACAAGAGTTCGACAGCGTCGAGCGCTACGCCTGCCACCACTTCTGCAATCTCACACGAGTGCCCTGGCCCTTCTACTCATCTCGAGTTGGCTGTGCATGCGTCGAACCATGGAATCTTCGGCAAGCTTGTTCAGCGCATCCTTTTTAGCAGCATCTCGCGTCGGGCAATAGCAAGATTCCACTGAACTCTGGCTCGTTTCTGACCAAAATATTGTCAGTCGGTAGCTGAAGCGTGTGGCTTTGATTGATGACGTCAGTGGCAAGCTCTCCAACTGCTCAATGCATCTGTAATGCCTGCATCAAGCCGTTCGGCAAACAGTCTTGCCGGCACATCCACGTACTGTATTGCAATCATGCAACAGACTACAAGAGGTACTCTACCTTCAGGAAAAGCTCTACTTTCCTGCTCAGTCATGGTCTGGAAACACAACACAGTGTAAGATCACTCCCAAAGCATTCCAAAACCATCCACAAAGCGCACACACACACACACACCAAGAGCATTCCCAGCAATATTCCCCTTGCACGTTAACAGCCCATGTAGGAACTGCAGGACAACTGCAAACACTCGAAGAGCACCACTCTAAGCGCCCACCAAAAACACTCCAAGAAGCACTTGTGGAACGCTTGTGCTCGACAAGCAACCCGGGAACACTCCAAGAGCTTCAAGGCCACCGAAGACCACTCTAATCACGCCAAGATCTCTCCATGAGCAGGACCACCCCCAGCACTCTAAAATTCCAAAGAGTTCTCCATGACTGCCACTCCCCAAGCGCCCCACAAAGAGCTCTGCAAGATCAATCTAACAACGCCCCAAAGCGCTTTAAAGTCACCAAGGGCTGCCAGCCCATGTAAGACCATCCAAGCACTGCAACATACCAAGAACGTTGAGTTTCGAACCACCACAGCTCGAAACTACTCGAAACTACCACAGCTCGGGAGGTCCCCCGAGCTTGAGCGTAAGACCGCTGGGCCTCCGGACGTGGTCCGAGTACCTATACGTTTGCACTACGACGCTCGGGCCTCCACAGCTCAGGACGTCCTCCCAAAACACCGAGATCGCGATTCAAAACGCGCAAGCATCGAGATGGCTGCAAAAACAACCCAAGACAACAAGAACACAAAAAGGGTCGTCGTTCGCATCTCAAGAGCGGCGTACATACTGAGATGGTGTGTCCATTGCGACGCGGAAGTCGTCCAAAATTGTGCTCTTGTGACTCGGAGATCACAAAGAAAGAGAAATGCGCAGCAAAACCCCTTGACTCAACGAACCCCTCGCGGAACCTAATTTTCCCATGCTCCCATGCATATAATGCTGCGCTGGCTCTGAGAACTCTGGGCCGCAGCCAGGGTGCCCAGGGTGCTGTGTCCAAAACGCAAAATCAACGCAGACTGTGCTGGGGAACAAACTTGACTCCCACAGGACCATGCTCCCGAAGTAATCCATGGATTTTTGGGGATTACCTACAAACGGAACAACCCATCACAACACCTGCAAGCCAGCAGTGCAGCAAGTGCATAACCACTCGCAGCACAATCATAATTGAGAACATGACACTGCTTGTGTGTGGTTGCATTTGGCCATTAAACTGAGTCTCGCAGAATCACAATCCAAGGCGCTTTCTGAATTTCTCCAGCATCTGGGCCGGATCTGGCTCTGACATGGCGCTGCGTTTGGACGGCATGCTTCCAAGCAAAGCTCTGAGTCCACGTGACAGTTCCCCGTCTTCCATATCTACCTTTGTCTATCTCTAGTTAAGTCTTGGAAAATGTTCATCGCACCATCGCGCTTTGCGCCCGGGCTATACTCACGTGAATCTCAATAGACTGCTGCGTCCTGCGCCACTTTCGCCAGTCTTGTCGAGCCCGGCTCTGTTGCAGCTGTCATTCACAAGCACACAATCAATGGATCACTATGTCAAACATCGGTAGGGACTTGGAGGCTCTTGATTGAGATGTACCTCCGTCTTCACACTTAGGTCTCGGCCGACCAAGCAGCCATCGATGCAAGGCAGCTCGCGGAACAACCAGACATTCGTGACGGTGAAGAGGTGTAATGTTGAGACAAATCTGCTTCTTGCGCGTGCACTTTGAAGTTCTCAAAGCAATGTACACCAAGCTCCGGCGTGAAGCGCAAGCTAGGCGATGAAATGCTGCAAATGGCTGGCAGGTGCTGCTCCTAACATTGTGGTGACATGGTGATTTCGGTTGCGGTGCGCACTCTCGGCTGGAGAAGCGGTGTTCCTTGACCATGAGCGTGGGCGTATGCTGGCAGCAGTAAGAGCGTCAACAGGAACCAGTTCAGCAAGCAGTGCTAGTACACAGTACTAGGAGGCAACACTCGGACAACAGGTCGTAGTACATACTTCTACCATTTCAAGCAGCAGCCATGAGATCAGTTTCAGCATTTGCTACAGAATATCGGCCGCTTCAGGTGACCAGACGCATGTCTAGAGCGCAAGTGACTCATGCTTTTTGCAAGAAAGTCAAACCACCCACAAAGCCAACAGCCCCGCTGCTGCTCAACGAATGGCGCATAATGGCACCAAGAGAAGTTGCAAGAGCTAGCTGCAGTTGTAGTCACACCGGTAAGCCAACCGCCTTAGCATCACGGAGCCGCTTGCCTGACTGCTTTTTGCAAAATGGGGAAGCCAACGTATTCCAAGATGCTCATAACTCCCCAAGTCTTCCACCTCTAACAGAAGCATCAAAGCCCTTTGTCGTGCTGAACTGTGGGTATAGCTTGGCAGGAGGTATGTACGGTACGGTCCATTGTTTGAATGTCAATCTTCTGAGGGTTGCAAACCTGGGATTTTCTTCCAGAGCCCTGGCGCCAAACTGCGATCGTCGGGACGCCAATAGCACCCAGGACGACCCAATTCGCAAGGCTGTTTGCCGTTGACGGGTCGCAGCCCCCCAGCAAAACAGCAGATGAACGCCAGCCCAAATCATACAGTAACTCTCGGAAGCAGCTTTCACTGAACTGGTGGCATTCGAAGCTCTTGCTGGGAAGAGTTAGGTGTCCTCATCGTTCACAGCCTGTGCAATATCAGCTCGGCATGACCAATGCCCAGCGACGAAGATATATTGCAGCTCGATTCCGATTCAGCTCGATGATCCGCAATCTCGATCGAGGTCTCCGCATCGGCTCCTTCTTCAAGATCTCTCAAGAACCGAAGTCAACAGCAGCGCTCCTCGAATGATCATCTCTGCACTCGTTGCAGACCGTGCTCGCATTCTGAGGCTCCAAGGCACCCCATGACATGCAGCTGGCTGCAGAAGAAGGTACCAAAGGTGCCCACACGTGCCCTCACGGACTGTCCAACGAGAGCCCAATCTCACATAATCACCTCCGTTGAGTGGCGTGGCAGCCCTATACTCTGGCGCAGCGAATCCCAGGTAGCCGAAGTCCCGACGCCATGGGAGGAAGTCCTCCGGACGCCAGGCTGGCCTGTCATTGACATCAGGAGATGTCAGCATCATCAAGGGAGAAATAATGAAGCACTTTAACTTGTACTGGACAATGTCTGCGACTTGCAGGCCTTTCAGGCGAAGAGCGCGCAAATCGCCTGCCGTGGGCGGGACATGCTCCCCCAGAGCTTGTGGTAGCTATAAGCTTAGACAAATCAAATGGATGTTAGGATGATCAAGATGGTGATGTATACTATGAGAACTTCACCATGGAGGCTGACACGTGCAATCGTTGCCTCGCGCAATTGGAAGCACCTATACTACCCGCGAGATATCTTGTCCAAGCATAGCGAAGCCGAGGTCAAGAGTCTAGAGATCATCTACCGACCTGCTGCAAGAAAGGTGGCACCTCGTAGGCGGCAGCGATCTTCTTGAAGTGCACACCGGACGGGTCCTGCAGCAGAGAGTTGTGTTAGCCGGGCTTTCGCCATAGGACCAGGTCGGCGTGCTCTCAAAGAATGATCGCCGATCGCGCCTGAGACTGTTTGTCGGGGTGCAGCTCCAGGGCCAGCCGACGATACGCCTGGCGCACCTGGATCTGCCATCTTTACAGGTTCGCCAGGTCCGTCCCCTCCTACTACGGAAACAACAAGCTCTGGAGCATCTTGGACTGGAGATCTGTGTGGCATACCATCCAAGAATGTGTGCTAGTTTTCTGCATCGTCTCCGGCCCATTCTTAGCAGTTACACCATGCTCCTACAATCCCAATCGTGAACATGACAAGATCTTCTAAGCATTTCACAAACCAGAATGAAGCTCCTTTAGCGAGATAGTGCGTCCACGCAAATGCAACACATGACAGTGCCCTAGACATCCCTAGACCAAGCAAAGCACAGGTGACAGTCTTGCGCATGTGCCTCTGCTGATTACCGACGCTGCAAAGGACCACAGCAGACAGAAAACCGGAGCAGCTTCACGCTTGCAAGCATGTATCCAGCAATGTCAGGTCGGCATCGATTGTCGACATACGCGGAAGTGCTGTCACGCCC